AAATCAATAGATCCAGTCTGAATGAAGGCTGCAAAAAGAGAATAATTATACAGCAATGACCCCATTTTGTCAGCTAGCAAAGTATGTGTAACATTCATCTTGAAGGAGGAAGGTATGAAATTACAATTATGTGGAATTATTGAAAAATAACAGTCTGATGCGCGGAGAGATTGACAGGATCGGGTCATAACTGTAATGTGAATATTAGGAAGATTTATCATCATCAAACTATTCTTGAATTGACCTGGAAGATGCTTGTGAATAATTGTTATACAGATAAATTAAATTGATAAACTAAATGGTTCAAACAACAACTCCAGCCTGTAAAAAAGCTGAAAATAGGGAATCTTTACAATGTGGATCCCCGACGGTCTTCTACTCAGTAAGCAAAAGTGGCAGCCACCAGGCTAGTCGAGCTGCTCAATTTAAATATTGAAACCTTATTTTGTGAAGTTCTTAAGAATACCAATTGAAACACAATGTAAACAAATAAAAGTTAAGAGTCTCATCCGAATCAAATGATTCCAAACGATACGCATTCATAGAAATTAAGTTTAAATAGACAAAAGTAGAAAAATGGAACAATCTCACCAAATCAGTCCAACTGAATCCCTTGCAAGCAGCTATGTCATGCTTGGTGTAGTAGCTCCGATCATAGACCCGCCCTACGGGGATCAATCCTCTGGTCGAATGTAGTCGATTGCTCCATGACGCGAACACGAAGCGACCGCTCACAAAATCATACAACGCGTAAACAAACTGAAATCAAAAACTATCACACGCGACGCCACAAATTTCTGTACCGGGAGCACAAGCGAAGAAAAAAACAAACAACGCAGATAGCGACACTTCTTCTGATGTTATAAATTTTTGGAGAATATGATGACAAAAAAAAATTCTGAAATCTATACATTTTCAAAGTTTCATTGCTGCCAACCGTTTGTCGAGTGAGCGTGAAATTCGTCACATTGATTCACACTACTGTTAAAAACAGAGAGAATTGAAATGTTTTGCATTTCGATGCTATGTGAATGGCATGTTCTGCAAAGTAAACATCGAAAACATGAGTTGTGACTGACACAGATGCATGTTAAATTGGGTTCTTTAAGGGTATTGAGGTAAATGCATATTCGTAATTTGCTTTAAAAATGGAACCCGACCCCAAAATTCGATCAATTGGTTAGTGGAACTATTCTAAATAAGTATGATTACTTTGCAAAAATCACCTTATTAGCGCCCCTCGGTGTCATTTTCTATAGGAGCGAGCTGTCAGTTTGTTAGTTTAGTGCCAAACAGTGAAGTTATTATTTTGTTTTAAATCTTGATTTAAAAATCAAGATAAAAGTGTGTGGGTTCGAAAAAAAAATATCGCTGTGCTCCGAAAACGAAGCTCTTTCAGATGATGTAAAACAAACGATACATTTTTCAAAATTAAAGAAGCCAATTAAATGCAAAGGAATGAATCATTAAAGCCTTTCGCGAAAAATTTAATTTGTTTTACTTTATGTTACATACGTGTTTTGGAATTCATAAGTGTCTTATGAAATCAAAGTTGTCATGTTAATATAAGTCAAGTCTTATAGAATTCTTATGATTACTAGGTGGGTTGAAATGTAACCTCCTTGGGAATGATTTCTTTTTAATTTATTCAATATACCGTAGAACCAACAATCAATACGAAACTAACGATTTTAAATTAGCTCACTACTTGACTAGCCTATTCGTCCCAAGCAAACGATTAACGTACCTCATTCTAGTCGAAATTCTAGTACTACGTAATGTTTGTTTTGATTCGCTATGAAAGTTTGACTGATAAAGTGAGGGGCTAGTGGATTTTCCTATGTTTCGAGGCTGTGAATCGATTAGCTTGGGATCAAAGAGAGTACCAGAGCTGAGCCAAAAAGTTGAGCACGTTATTTCGGGACCTTCTAGTCTTAGAGTTACCTCTAGTCCCCTTTTAGCTCGATACACTTATTCCAGCGATTTTCCAACTTCATGATCCCGTCCGAAAAGTAATTTTCCGGAAGGCCTGCAAAATACTCCTCCGCGGCGTCGATTATTTCCTCACGTGAGCTGGTTTTTTTATTGATGAGCCATCTTTTGAGGTTTGGGAAGAGATAATAATCTGAGGGAGCCAAATCGGGCGAACACGATGGATGCGGAAGCAATTGGAGCCGTAAGTCATTGATTTTAGCCGTGGTTGCGATGCTCTTGTGCGCCGACGCATTGTCTTGCAAAAACAATTTTTTTTTCGCTTCATGTGAGGCCAGTTTGCAGCGATTTTGGCCTTCAATCGCCCCAATTATGCACAGTAATACCAACCGGTGGAACTTACTATTTTAAATTGGCTCACTACTTGACTAGCCTATTGGTCCCAAGCAAATCGACTAACGTACCCCATTCTAGTCAAAGTTCTAGTACTACACTATGTTTGTTTTGATTAGCTATGAAAGTTTGACGGATAAAATGAGGGATTCGTGGATTTTCCTATGTTTCGAGGGGTGTATCGATTAGCTTGGGACCGAAGATAGTACCAGAGCTGAGCCAAAAAGTAGAGCACTTTTCTTCGGGACCTTCTGGTCTTAAAGTTACCTCTATGGTAATACTCGCTGTTGATGGTTCTTCCTTTTTCGAAGTAGTCCACGAAGAGTATGCCATGACAATCCCAGAAAACCGACGCCATAACCTTTCCGACCCATCGAGTCTCCTTCGGCCGCTTCGGAGCACTCGTGCCGGCTTCACTCTATTGCCGGGCACTCATTCTGTTCTCTGGGGTGTAATAGTGGATCCAGGTTTCATCAAAGTTACCAATTGACGCTGAAAGTCCGCCCGATTCCGCATCAGCAAGTACAAACACTCTTTCGAAGTGCTCTCGCGTTCGTGTTTTTGGTCAGGAGTGAGCCAGCGGCAGAATAACTTTTTCAACAACTTGATCGGTAGTGGAGTTGTGGATACCACGAAACTCTCGAAACCAATATTTGACTGTGTAATCTGACGGAACATTAGCCCCATAATATTTATCCAACTTTTCTTTTGTTTCCTTCGCCGTTCTGCCTTTCAAAAAATAATGTTTTATGAGAGAACGAAAATCGTGTTTATCCATACTCAACAGGTTAACAACAATCAGCTGTCAAAACAAAACTAAAAACAGTATCGCACTGAAATTTGGCATGTCTGCCCAAACAAGGCACCATAATCTTTTTTGCAGTAGCAGCGCATCCTGGCGGTCAAGAAGGTTACTTTTCACCCCACCTAGTATTTACCTCAGTGTAGTGCCATACACACTTAATCTAGCTCGGTAAAATTTCCAAAAGCCGATTACCTCGGCATTCTCTTTTGCTGATATCTCTGCAAAATATCTGTTTGTTAGCTGATAGCTCAGCAAAATGTTATTTGTTAGCTGAGTCTCGGCAATTGTTTTACTGAATCTCAGTAAAATAAATTGCAGAATTACTCGGCTGTTGGAATCTCGGCGAAAATATTTAAGTGTGTAACTGGAACACTTACCCTAGTTTATCGTACCGATATTGTGTTCGTATTATAGTCACTTTAAACAAATGTTAGGTCATTCTTGACTTCCCCGGGGATGAGACTTGAACTCGTGACGCTTAGCGTGAGAGGCATGGATGCTAACCACTACAGCCTGTCCTCAATACCCAACGTGTTGAGACGTTATACTTTTAAGCTCACTTAAACTCATCAAATGTCCATATTATTCGTGAATTGTGCCTACAAAGCAGCTGAAGTGTGCTGAAGTGTCTAGAATGTCAATCCATTTGAAATTAATAAACTCCTTTTATAACTTCCACGTTTTTCCACCTCTTGTCTCCTTCCGGGTATGACCAGGAACAAAGGATAATGAAATAAAAGCGTCCCACCTTCCAAGCTATCATCACTCAATTCTCGCTGTTCGGTTGTTTGCATGTTGGAAAAACAAAAACAGCACCAACATTCCATTCCATTCACATTATTTACGAACAGCAAGGCTCGCATGGTGGTGTTTATGAAATTTGTTTCGTTTTTTTCGTGTGTCCAAATCCGAATCGATAAATTCAAAAGTTTGAATTAAAACCCGTCAAAGTTCATGCACATGGGTGCATAATTTGCATTCTAAGTTTTTTCGCTGCTGCAACGCTTGAGTACTGGTTGGCGTTAATTTCTTCCGTTATAAGTGGGCACCGGTAGCTGCAAGGCAAATTTGAAGAGTAGAGTGACGTCCGAAATGCTGGCTTACGACGCACCATGATTTTGATTCTAGGAATACAATTTGCTTTCAAGGGAAAACAAAGTTTTACAGAATTAGTTTTCAGCACAGTTGAACGAATGAAGAGCTTCAGTTCCAGGTCAAATAGGGAAAAAAATGTTTTCACTCGACCTGCTCCGATTTCCATGAAACTTTACATAATTGTATGTTATGGGCTATCATTCATATATTTGCATAAATTCGTCGATTTTGGATCTTGACTTTTTAATTTTTAAATGGCGTATTTGACATTTTTTAATCAATTTTAGCACGAAATCATCACTTCTGATCAAAATGACGTCTGAGACAAAGTTGGTTAAAGTCTTTCTGGGAAAAATATACACGGTTGGTCATTTTGCGTGGAACTGCTCAGCTGTCTGAAATAGTAGTAGTAGGTTGAATAGAAGTTGAAATTTTCATTACATCCGAATCTGTGTCTTGTAATAGCACAATTGTTCATTTACATAGAAGAACAGACGAGAGTAACTGAATCGCAAACCTTGACATTCAACCTTTTGTGCGCCATTTGTTAAAGTAAGGTCAACATTTATTTCTGTTTTATGAACGACCTTTTAACTATTTATAAATCATTCGGGTAGGCAAATGTAACGACAGTTGTATTTTACACAATCGTAGTACCTTTCCCAACCTTTAGCATTTTCCTTCCCAAAGAAGACTTTGAACGATATTTCCTCGAACCCCATTTTACGCAATTTAAAAACCTACCAATTACCTTTCTTTCCTCATCCCCCAACAGATTTTACCCGCAGCATGGAAAACTCCCCGATCAAAAGCAACCGGAAGGTTCGCTTTTCCCTGCCAGACAACAACATTCCGGCAGTTCCGGCGAATGCAGCCCAACAGAAGCAACGGCTATCCCACGGAACGCTGCAGTACGTCAACGGAACTCTAGTCAGCCAACCTGCCGCACCCGGGACGAGCCCCCAGGCAGGTCATGATCTCAATCGCCTGCAAAGTCAACAGGTACAACTCCGACAAGCCAAACCCAAAGAGTCCAGTACAAAGATCGTTCTTCATCTCCGGCCATCGACCGGAGTGGATAAATATGAGAATATGGAAATCGCACCGGTGAAACCAACCGGCGCTACATTGGAAAAGGTTCCACGGAAAGGATCCAAGAGCAGTATTCCACGATTGGAGGCCAGAGCTTTCAAAACGCTTCCTCAGATTAATCAAAAGTTTCCCAGTTCAGAAGATGTGAACAACAACACCACGACCACTGCTGTTCGCGATGCATGCCACAGACACAAATCCAGCGAAGATCTAGGCTTCAATAAAGCAACCGACGCAAACAATAACATTCAACAAATTAAAAAGCAAACCGTCATGTTGCGGTCAATCTCCAGCGTCAGTGCCACCGGGGGAACCAAATCCCTCACCGCTAGACCGAGATCCAAATCCCTTGGAAAACCCAGCTCCATCCGAAGTGGGAAAACTCTAATCTCGTCTCACCTGCAGCACCAAGACATTACCATCAAAGTGCAGGAAAGTTCCCCAGCTCGTCGAACCCTCCTAGCGGACGGTGCCGACTCGGAGGGTAGAACCGCCCGAATGGCGGTGAATGGTTCAATCGAATCCACCCCCACAGCAAATGCCAACGGGAGGCCAAAGTCCCAGTATGCCAAATGTAACTTCCTAACGGTGCCAGAGTTCAGCGATCGGTACGAAGGCATGGAAACGGTTGTTTCCACTTCCGCTGCCGCTAGTGACGATGAGGAAGAAGAGGACGAAGGAGGAGCGGAAACGGAAGGACCTCACCTGCCGGTCGGTAGCGGCAGTGGAGGTGGTGTGGATGCCGTCGAAACGGTGAAAAACGCAAACGGACGTGGGACGAAGCGCAACGGCAACGGAGGAGGTGAGTATGGTCTCTGGTGATGAGAGTGAGGAAAATTTGATTTGATTCGGCAGAAAATGAATTGCATTTGCTTTCACTTGGGCGTTGATTATAAAAAAAAAATATGCTTATGGTAATGAAACACCCAAACACCACCAATCAATGCATATTGCTTTAAATGACCTTCTGACGCAGCACAAACCAGAAGGAGAGAAGAAATGAAGGACACAACGGTCGTACTTTTGAGTTGTGTTATATTCGCGTGAATAAAAACAAAAGGTGTCTTGCAATCCAAGGACAAGGTAAATTTGACATATTTGTAAAAATCATCAAATATTTCCAAATATCATCGAAAAAATTAAAGCATTTTCAAAAACTAATACATGTTTGGCAAAACTCAAATCACGCGTGAGTTTATTCGACTATGAGAGTTTTCCCTTGCAAAATTCAACTGCCCAAAAATCACAGATGAGTTTTCAAGTTCAAATCTAGATAGAGCTGGAATTAGGGCGTAAGAGCATTTGTAAACAATGACTTCTCTCGATGATTTCTAGGAATTCAAACAATTTTGAACAATTTTTTGGCGTTGTGCGTGTGAGTGCATATAAATGTATGAGAATCTCATGCGTGAACATTGTTTTCCAGATTCGCACACGAGTTTATTCTCTAAAGGAAGCTGAATTAATGTGATTTGAGAATAATTTTCCGAATACTGTACATGTTAAAAATAGGTCTTGGTGCTGGTGTTCGCTCTACGATTATGTTTATTTTTAACCCTCCGTTACTCGCGCCAGCTTTTGTAACACGAGTACTCGCGCGTTGTACTTTGTACAACAGTGTGAGTTATGCATTGCCATTTTGCAGAAGAGCTACCAATCGATATGAAACCAACGGGTATTCCTTAAAGAACTTGTTTTTAACCAAACAAGCTAAATTTTTATTACAGTTAACCCCCAAAAAATGCGGATAATAGAGAAAATGTGAATGGAAACCGCGTAAACGGTGTCCGTACTACGTGGGATTTGACTTAATTGGTTACAACATGGAAAATCTTGAGATCCTGACCAGATAGAAAGTTACTGTCTTGGGCAAAGTTGTTTTAAAGATTATAACCTTGTAGTAGTAGTTCAGAATTTTCTCACTACGTAGCGCTAGAATACATGTGAAATTCTCGTATATGATATATCTCGAGATCCTGACCAGATAGAAAGTTACTGTCTTTCACAAAGTTTTTCAGGAGGTCAAAGTCTATTGCTTGGTGCTCAATATTTCAAAATTTGCTCACTACGCGACGCTAGTATACATGTGAAATACTCATATAAAATATCTCGAGTTCCCAACCAGATAGAAAGGTACTGTCTTCGGCATAGTTGTTCAGGAGGTCAAGGATTTTTCGCAGGTGGACAGTAGTTCAGAGTTTTCTCACTTTGCGACGCTACTATACATGTGAACCTCGTGCATATAAAATATCTCTAGATCCTGACCAGATAGAAAGTAAATGTATTCGACAAAGTTTTTCAGGAAGTCAAGATCTTTTTGTTGGATGACAATAGCTCAGAATTTTCTCAATACGCGGCGCTAGTATACACGTGAAATTCTCATTTAAAATATCTCGAGATCCTGACCAGAGAGAAAGTTACTGTCTTAGGCAAAGCTGTTCAGGAGATCATAGCCTTTTTGCTGGTGAACTGTAGTTTAGAATCTTCTCACTAGGTAGTGCTCGTATACATGTTAAGTTCTCACATCACTAGATTCTGACCAGATAGAGAGTAAATGTCTTTGGCAAAGTTGTTCAGGAAGTCAAGATCTTTTCGTTGGTGGACAGTTGTTCAGAATTTTCTCACTACTCGGTGCTAGTATACACATGCAATTCTCGCATATACAATAGCTCGAGATCTTGAGCAGATAAAAAGTTACTGTTTTCGGCAAACTTGTTCAGGGGGTCAAGAATATTTGGCTGGTGGACAGTAGCTCGAGTTCTGAACAGGTAGAAAATAATTGTCTTCGAAAAAGTTGTTCATGAGGTCAATGACAATAGTTCAGAATTTTCACACTACGTGACATTAAAAAAATATCCCGAGATTCTGATAAGATAGATTTTGCTAGTGGACAGTAGTTCACAACGTGTATTCTACGTAGCTCTAGAATACACGTGAAATTCTCGCATGTGGTTTGTTTCGAGATCCTGATCAGATAGAATGTTACTGTCTTCGACAAAGTTGTTCAGGAGGTCAAAGCCTATTGCTTGGTGTACAATAGTTGAGAATTTCCTAAGCGGCGCTAGTATACACGTGAAATTTTCACATGTAAATTATCACGAGATTCTGACCAAATAGAATGTTACTGTCTTGGGCAAAGTTGTTCAGGGAGCCAAGGCCTTTTGGATGGTCGACAGATTTTTTTTTCACATCATTGCGCGTGTATACACGTGCAATTCGTGCATTAGATATATTTCGAGACCTGCTAAACTGTCATCGGCAAATTTGTTCGAGAGATCAAAACTTTTTCGTTGGTCAACAGTACAGAATTTTCTCACTACGCGGCACTAGGATATACGTAAAATCTTCGCATATATAATATCTCGAGATCCTGAACAGCTAGAAATTAACTGTATTTGGCAAAGCTGTTAAAAAGCTAAAGATCTTTTGGTTGATGAACAGTAGTTCAGAAATTTCTCAAAACTTAACGGGCAATTCTCGCATATCAAATATCATAAAATAAAAATATAATTTACATCAGCCTAAGTGGGATAAGACAAATGTATTCTGGAATTCTTTTACTGATGAAAATTTTCATGCAGATTTGTGGATACATTAATTGGTGTGAGTCTTCCACTTGTATATCTCTGATAAATTAGTGGTAACACGTATCTCAGATGGAAAACATTATCTTAATAGATTAATATCGCTGAAAATTCCACCAAATAAATGTTTAGAGTCTCCCTTTCATTTTAGGCTAATTTAGAAATGTCTTATCGAGGGGTCTAGAATAAAAAAAAAACGTGTATTTACGTGTGCACGGACATCGAGACTAACTCAGAGTGTGAGGCACTTTTGCTTAGTTGAATGGAGAAATTTATAAAACCGTTCACTCCCGATCATAAGTTTAAGGACACCCCCTTAAAAACACCCAAAGTTTAAACTATTTGCATATTCACCATCCGGAAGAACTTTGCCGCATGTACAACTGTGACGATGACAGTTATTTCCTGACTTTAAACTATAGCATAAACAAATATTTTACATGCACACTAGCGCCGCATACCGAAAATATTCTGAACTATTTACTATTCACCAGCAAAAATGCCTTGATCTCCTAAACTACTTTGCCGAAGACAGTAATTTTCTAGCTGTTCGGGATCTCGAGCTGTAGCATATATGAGGATTGCACGTGTATACTAGCGCAGCGCAGTGCAAAAATTCTGAACTACTGTTCACCAGCCAAAAGACCTTGACCTCCTGAACCACTTTGCCGACCTACAGAACTTTCAAGTTCCATAAAGTTCAAATAAAGTCCCGACAGAACTTTCAAGCCACATGAAGCCATCCGCACAAGTCTTTATTACTCGATAACTTTTTCAAAGGGACGTATCAGCTTTTGTAAACAATGCCTTTGATCGTCGATTTGGCGTAACTGGTAGCTCGCTCACGCATGCTAACACTACCATCAGATAGAGGAAACTTTCCCCTACCTGCTAGTGGTGTTAGTAAGTGTGTGTGAGCTATCAGTTACGCCAAATCGACGATCAAATGCATTGTTTACAAAAGCTGATACGTCCCTTTGGTAAAGTTATCGAGATTAGCAACAAAATTGTATGTACGTAAATATTAAATGATCAGTGGCCCGAATAAATCATTATTCTTATATTTATGCAGTGCATCAACATTCTATCCAAATATAAAAAAAATAATTAAAAAGTAATTTCCTGGATTCGAACCCGTGTATTCGGCATGCGATCTACGAACGCTAACCACTGCGCCACAAATGCGTTGTAATACCGTGCGAGCAAACACCAAGCTAAAATTCATCAAGGTGTTGTGTTTCTTATTCAAGTCAGTCAGCTGGCACTGAAAACTCCAACAGAAGGCGGAACAACAGCTCTCTTTATTATATCTCAGATGACGCAGCGGTTTGTGCTGGGGCTATCACGCAGAAGGATTGGGTTTAATTCTTCAAACAGCTCCAATTCTACTACTAATGCTGATAAATACATATTAATACCAGCCTTTAGAAATAACTTTCATAAAAGTGCGAACTAAACATAGTATTAGTGGTAGAGGACAAAACATTTTTAAATTCGTTTTCTAAAAGTTCCGTTCAATTTCCGCCAGAAGCTGCTTAGAATGCTCTTCAATTATGATATCGGAACTTTCCAGTTCTTTTAACGACTTAAAAATGAGGCTGCTTAGAATTCTATAGACCACCACCAACCAAGCTGTTTAAGCCACAAATCAAGAGCCACATGTGAAAAGGGCATACAAGCTTTTTGTAAAAAAACCTCTGTACAAACCTCGCCCACCGAGGGCCCCCCATGAAAACTAATAACATCATCAGGAAAAGGAAAGCTTCCCCTATCCGGCGATATTGATGGTTTGCGTTGGTGTCATATGGGTTGAGAGAAAAGGGCATAAGAAGGTTTGTTTACAAAAAGCTTGTATGCCCTTTTCACATGTTGTTCTTGAAATAGCCTTTTATCAGAACTTTTGGTTACTTGGGACTTTCTCAGTTAATACTCCGCGTATCATCCTGAAGGTATCCTAGTATATTTTGTTTCGTTGGAAAATTTCTGAATTTCACTGGGAATGGATAATCATTTTGCTTGCATTTGAAAAAAGGCCCAAGCAACACACATGTTCTATAACAGTTATTATAACCTTTGTATGACTAGTTTTGGTTGTATAGCAGTTTACTCAACATAATTATATGAATTTGTGTTACCTCGGGGGGGGGGGGGTATGTTAAGGCTTAGAAAGCTTTCAAATAAAAACTGTGGAACTTTTCTTCTAAAACTAAGCTGAGGG